GCTCTCTATGGATGTGTGTGTGTGCGTGTGTTTTATTTTTAATCACGTGACCTTTGGCATTTGCCCTGATCAGTTTATATGATTTGCAGTCAGACTCGCTCTATAACCAATTAGTGGATGGAAAGATTTTCCTTTGTATCAGTCTTACACTAGTTTCAGATTCCATTCCGACAGTGTAGGAACAATTTGTGCTTTTCTGAGTATTTTCTGCCTCTTGCTCTGGGGTGTTATATGCAGTGGTATTGGTAGTAGTTCAGTTTGCTCCTACTTTCCCCTTCCCTGTTAGCGTCCGATTCTGGATTGTTGCTGGGATGGGGGAAAGCAAAGCACACGCTGCTCCTGGGCCGCCCCCAGCCCGCACTGCTCTGTGAGGCGGGCTGGCTGAGACCTGGCTCTTCTGCAGCACGTGTTCCCCCCCTTGGCAGTGAACCTTAAACAAATAAGCAGGTACAGGAGCAGGTGCCAGGCAGTGAGGAGTGATACTGTGGGAGGGCAGCCAAGTGGGGCACGCAGCAGGTAACAGCCCACGGCAAGTTTAAGGTGGCAGAGAAAATTCCATCTTTTAAGGAGCTTCTCAGGTACTCGTTTTCCACTTCAGTTGGACTCATGTAGTTGAGAGAGGCATTTCCTGGCTTAAGAACTTGAACTAACTTTCTAGAAAGGTGGGCACCTGTGCCTGGGCTCGAGGAGGTTGGGGTGGCAGCCCCCAGGCTGGAGGCAGTTTGGCCACTAGAAGTGGATGTGGTACATGTGTTTGTGAGTGGTGTCTGCTGACACCTTTTTCTCTGTCCTGTCTTCTTATAGCTGGGTGGTGATGAGAGGGTTCTGGAGAGCTGCTTGAGCCTGGGTGGCCACCGGGCCCCTGTGGTCACCGTGGATTGGAGTACTGCCATGGACTGTGGGACCTGCCTCACCGCCTCCATGGATGGCAAGATCAAGCTGACCACCCTCCTGGCCCATAAACTGTGAAGGGCCTGTCCGGAGGGACACCCATGGAGCAGTGTTATCCTGGGCGTAGGGCAGATACAAGGTGGGAAATGGGGCACTCCTCTGCGGCTCCCGCCAGCGCAGTGAGTCTTCAGGGAGAGACTGTCCAGGGAGTTAAAGTGTTGTCCAACTATGATTGGACAGGAGCCACATGGAGCAAGTGGCTCATGCCGGAGACCAGTATCATGGACTGTGCAAGACACACGCTGCAGACTGTGGGACGAAAGCTCCAGAGGAAGGAGAGATATTGTGACGGCTGCTGTGTTGGCCTAGGAGAAATTGACAGTATTTTGTATGTTTCTCATTTTCTTTCCTTTTTTTTTTTTAAAAAGAGAAAGTACTTGTGGGTCCTTGGTGTCTTTCTAGGATATGTGTGTCGCTTTGCCCTGGCTACAGTCAGCCCCTGCCTTCCATCTGCCCACCCCAGCACTGTGCCCTCCACTGGGGCTGCACTTCCCCAGCTGGGCCTGTTGCTTTGCCATCAAGGTTGGGTGCCGCCCGCGGCTCATCTGTTCTGCTGAGTAGCTCAAGTTTGGTGGGTCCTATTTCTCTCTGCTCAAGTCCAGGCCACAGAGTGTTCTTTCTCTTCCTTAAAAGTTGCCAGCTTTTGTTACAGAAGCTTCTCAGGATGAGGGCAGGGCCAAGGCCTCTGCTCTGGGCTGTCTTCTCAATTGGGTGACTTCTGTTTCCCACACAAGGTGAGAATCTACTATCTGACATGCTTGGGACCAGAAATGTTTCAGATTATGGATTTCTTCTCGGATTTTGGAATACTTGTAAGTACATAATGAGATATCTTGGGGGAGAGACCCAAATTTTAACATGAAATTCATCTATATCTCATACACACCTTATACACATAGCCAGAAGGCAGTTTCACACAATATTTACGTTTTGGTTGCAGCTCATCACATGAGGTCAGTTGTGGTATTTTACTCTTGTGTTGACATGTTGGCACTCAAGAAGTTTTGAATTTCAGAGCATTTTAGATTTCAGGGTTTTGGTTAGGGATGCCCAAGGGCACCTCTTTCATTCAGTGGTTCCTCTCATTCCTCCAGCTTAACCTCCAAGGTGTCGCCAGTTGCCAGCAAGCTGCACCCCTTGCTGGTGAGTGTAGGGGAGGTCAAATGAAGCAGCCAGGTTGATGGCAAGCATGTGGGATTCAGGCCAGTCCATCTGTGGCAGAGCTGATCCTGACCAGCTATGCCCACCCCGCTGCCTGAGGCCTGCCCTTTACACCTGGCTGGGGTGGGGCCTTGAAGAGGCAGGTGCTCCTGCAAGGTAAAGAGGAGCTGGAAGACCATTCTTAGGTGTCATCATGATGGGATGGTGGGCCTAGACCTTGGGCTTCAACACTTGGCAGGGGCAACCTTGTCTCCACACAGTTCAGAGCCTTCCAGCCCAGTTCTGGGGTGCAGACCTGGAATGGTGAATACTCATAGTTACCTACTTTGGGAAAGCCACAAAGAAATTGGTATTAAAGGCTTGGCTCCATTCTGCTGGGATTTGAGGGAAAAGTAGGGAGGAATTTATGTGGCTTGATTATAAAAGACATGAGAGACTTTGTAGTAAATAGTTACCCATTTTTCCTCATTTCCACTTTGGTACTCCTTCCCTCAAATGAAGAAACCAGGACTTCTCCGTGGTTATTACTTCTCCCCTCTACGTTGAATCAGCAGTGATTCTGCTGGACATTTAGAGATGGTCATGGGTTTCCTTTGAAAAACTTTTAACTTTTCCTCTCTCCATCTTGGAGTTTGTCTTACTATCCATTCCCTCCTCTCATGGGGTCTCTATAGCTTGCCAAAATGGATTTAAGGATCATAGGGACACAAAGAACACTTGAAACCCAGGTGTCCATCCCTGTCCCCACATCTTGCCCTCTGTAGGATGAGCTCTTATCCTCCAAGAAAGTAGGTTAGGACTTAAACTTCTCTCTCTTCTTCAAAATACCTGCTCAGCATCCTCTGTTACCTGGGGGTAGGGATGGCATAGAAGAAAACCATCAGACCAACTGAGCTGCACCTGGCCAGGCGCTGACCCTAAGCTCTGGCCCAGGCTGCACCAGGAACCTCACAGGTGCACTTTCCCATTTCCTGCCATCAGGTACCTGGCTGCATTTGCCCACTTCTGCTCCAGGGCCTCAGGCCAAAATCCAGCCTCTCAGCTGGGCATTCAGATGCATTAGGAGTTCCCTGTGGTGTCTTTTTAAAGGACTTACACATTGTGGAAAGACTAAATCCAGCTCATTGACATATGCACAACCTCTCATGATCAGTACAATTTTATCTGCCAGTTTAAAGACCAAAAACCTCTTAAATGCTTCAGGTGTTGACTCAAATCTACGCAAGCCACATATTTGTAGTTCTGGTTCCTCACCCCTCCTGAGGTGAGGGTTCTCTTCCTTCAAACAAAACTTTTAAGGCAGACAGACTTGTTTCCTGCTCTTCAGGCCTCATTTTCTACCTGGCTATGGAAAGAGGTTTTAAGGGTAGATGCACAGGGGCTGGTACTGTTGGAAAAAAAGTTATTCAATGATATTTATTAAAGCACAGTAAGGAAGACTTTTTTCCCAGGATTATCTCAAGTATAGGAAGGGCTGCAATAAGGTCTTACAGTGATGGAGAGAAACTGGACTCAACTTCAAATACAGCATGGGCCACTGGGACTTTATAGCCAAGGAGCAGGATGGGCAGGTGGATAGACAGTTACTCAGAGGGAAGAGCAGGGATGAGGGGATTCTGGCTCAACCAACCTAACAGAGTTTTGCTGAGACAGGCCAAGGTGGTCAGACCAAATAAGGCAAAGAGGGTGATCAGATATCAAGGAGGGGGATGGGGCATGGGGTGTGGTTCTTTTCAACATTGGATTTTATATGGAATTGCACACATAGGCCTAGCAGAAGATTCAGAAGCCTGACCAAAGTTTAGCCAGGTAAAGAATCTTCATCAGTTCTAATAGCAATTATTTTCTCTTCCTTTATTCACAAAACAAAATGGTGCTTCTCTGCCCCAGCTGCAGTTAGACTTGGGTTGCACTGTCTCATGCTCTGTGAGAGGTCAGTGACTGGGACACCTTCATAGTGGCAGAGAAGCCGTTCTGCTCCCTGGGGCTGCCCTCCTGAAGGGGCTGGAAGCAGACCAGATCTATCCTGCAGCTAAACTGACCCTGACCACCAGCAGTTTGGTTTTATGATCACTGATGATCTGTCTCTCTTTAAGCCTTGATTTTTTCACACTTTCCCCGTGCAGCCCCCTGCCCTAGGAGGGAGGTGTTGAAGAGCAGGTGAATGTGCTTTGGAGAAGCCATAGGTACCAAGGCAGGTAGAAGCAAGTGCTCAAAGAGCTCAGGCCCCGAGTCTCCAAGCCTCTGTTGTGTGGATAGTAATCATTCTGTCATTAGCTGACTTGTAAAGCATATCGCCAACAGCTGTCTTGATTGCTCATTTTAGGGGCAAACCTTGTCAGATCGTTCTTTATACTTTGAAGTCCCCTGGGTGAAGGCCTCAGTCTGGGTGTTTCCTTCCCAGCTGCCTTAAGTACGGGTGATTTTTGACTAAAAATGCTAATTCCACCTGACAATTGCAGAGCTCAGCATCCAGACACCTGGGGCCCCCAATCTGAATATTAAATATTAGTGACGCCTACTTTAAGAGGATAAATGTAAGCAGAGGCTCTAATTTCTCTTTCTGCACCCAGGGGGCTCATCTTGCGTCTCTGTCCCCGGAATGCGTCCCCCAGCAGGAAGCGTTGAACTTGGCTTCTGTGGGAATCCGTGGAGGGCTTCACAAATACAGATTCCCCTTTCCTGTCCCCTAATTTATGATTCAGAGGACCCGGGAACTGACACTTCGATTTTCCTTGAGCCGGGACGCGCTGCCGGCAGGGGGCGCACCTGGGTCTCCGCGCCAGCCAGCAGCCGCGGGGCGGAGCCGGGGGTAAGGGGCGGGGCCGCTGGCGCGGGGCAGGGCCGGAAGGGGCGGGCGGACCTAGGCGCTCCGCGGGGCTGCCGGAGGTTCGCGCCGCGAGAGGCTGGGCCGGGACCGCGGGGCTTGAGGTCTGGGTGGGGCGCGGGTCCCACAACCGTCCCGAATCCGCACCCCCCCGGCTGCAGTCTGGAAGCAGGAAGAGGACGCAGGAGCCCCCGGGGGAGCACAACAGACAGTGCGCCAGGCCGAGGAGCGCCGGGGCCTTGGGCAGGGTCGGGGGGAAGCTGGTGCTGCCAGTTCCCGTGTCTGAGCAGCGGAGCCCTGCGTGGATGCTTCCTCCACGTGTTCCTTTTCGCACTTGCTGGCTCTTCCCGCAGGGCGGCAGTGGCGGTCTGTGCGAGCTCAGGGGCCTGTCCTGGAAAGAAAGCCAGCGGCGGACGGTGACTAGGGATGCTGGCAGATCGCGTTCCTGCGGGGCTTCGGTTTCATCGTGAGGAGCTTAGGATGAGATCTAAGGTCTCATCGGTCGACGTCCTTTGAGCACTGAGCTACAGAGAAGGTGCTTCTGGAAGAGGTTGCGGCCCCCTTTGAGGGACCCCGAAGCCTGGCATGATTTGAGGTCTGTAGGACCTGGCTCTTAATCCTGGAAGCCTGATTTTAAACTTATGGGACCTTGTGCTAGTTAATTAAGGCTCAGTTTCTCGTTTGTGAAATGCATTAGATGTTCACCTAAGGGTTAGACAAATTTCTGCCAACACAGAGGCACTGTGCGCTGGGCGGGCTAGTTAGATGGCAGGAATGACTATTAGCACCGTCTGAATTCTGACGAAGTGAAGGCACCTTGGCCAGGGTCTGTCCTCCGGCTGGATAGATTAGGATGATGGCGTGGTAATTTTTTTCTTATACTGTGAACAGCCATCCTGAGTGAGCAATAAATTACCACATTATGATTCAACGAGGAATATCATATTCTTTGCTGACTACCTTTTCTGGACAAACATCTCTTGGGTTAGATCTTAGGTGGAGCTTCCTGGGTGACTCTTAGGTGGCAAGCACAGAGACTTAGCCTGGTTGTCACAACCCCTACTCTTTGAGTGGGGACTGGGCTTCAGGACTGAAGGGCTGAGGTGGAACAACCTGGATAAGGCAGAGAGAAGTCAACCTAGAGCAGAGGCTGGGGGGGAGGCAGGTGAAGAAGGGGGCTGTGGATTCTGCAAATCAGGAGTCCAGCCCGGTTATGCTTTCTGCCTCCTATTGCTGGTTAAAGTTTGACCCATCAGAAGTATCTTTAAAGGAGAGGTATTGGCCAATGATAGCTTATTGTGAATCAAAACAGCCTCAGGCTAGGGGTTCAAGAACAGCCTGGGCTATATAACAAGGCCTGTTGCTACAAAACCAGCTTAAAAATTAGCAGAGTGTGGCATGAGCTACTTGGGAGGCTGAGGCGGGAAGATCACTTGAGCCCAGGAGATCAACGCTGCAGTGAGCTATGTTTGCATCCCTGCACTCCAGCCTGGGCAGAGCTAGACCTCGTCTCAAAAACCCCGAATGGCTTCAGGGTTTTTTTTAATAACTGAGCCATTATAAAGGAAATGAGAACCTGGAGTTAGGGCAGAGGAGGGGGTGGTCACTGAGAAGTATTAGAAGGGTTAGGCAGGCAGGCTGAGGACCCTGAGGACACTGGCATTTGGGGTGGTGAGGACTTTAGAGACCTCCATGTCCTTTCTTGGGGGGGGGTCATCCCTGGCCTGCACTGACCCCATTGCTGAGGAGGCTGTGGGAGGTATTTCTGCTTGCCTCTGGCTGTGGTGTGGGGCTCCTGGCATGGGGACAGGTCCTAGGGCTCTTGTCTCCCAAGCTTGTTGTAGTCCTTCTACCACACCTGCCTGCCAGTGTCTGAGTCTTCAGCCCTGCTCTCTCTCTGGGTTACCGGTAACTGGCTGGTGACTGGAAGCATTCTAGCTTATTAGAATTCACTGGGCTTTGTTCTTCTTTGTAGGATTTAAAGATTGACTCCCACTGTGGGCACGGACCTATAATTCCTGTTGTGACAAGAGAGTGGGATTTGCTTTTCTCACTTCGAAAAGCAGGTCATTAAGGTTGGGCCCTGACTTCTCTTTGTCCACAGAGATGGAAACCTTAAAATCTGAGAATAAAAAGAGGGTCCTTCCATCATGGATGACAGCTCAGGTGACCAAGAAGAGAGTGGCACCAGTGAAGGCCCCAAAGAGGAGGAGAATGGCAGCAGAGGCGGTAGCAGCAGCAAGGTGTGATACCCTTTGGTCAGAGAGCTCCTGGGATAAATCAAAAGTGGAACAAGGGGCACCCAGGCTGGGTCGAGTCTTCTTGTGTGGACAGAACAGCCAGTTAGGCGGGCAGTTCAGCCGGACAATCACTGCACTTAGGAGGTGCAGAGGCTGTGAGCAGGAGGCAGAATGAGTCGTCCCCTCCCAGACAGGCACCCGTTTCTGCCTCTTGGTGAGTGCTCTGTCAGGCCTGCAATTGTCGGCATACAGATGGTGCGTTCCACACATCAGCCAAGCTCTCAGGCCAGATATCCAATATGCCAGGCTCTTCCCTTGCGTCAAAATTATAACATCAAGTGGGCAAATCAGTGGACCGGAGTCAGATCTCTTGTTCTTCCTCTTGTGGGCATGTCTTTAAAGACACACAGGTTGTAGGGCTAGTGAGAAATCAGCATCTGGAGCAGCGCCTGTGGCTCAAAGGAGTAGGGTGCTGACCCCATATGCTAAGGTGACTAGACATCCAGCTTTTGGTGGGACAGTCCAAATCTTTAACAATTTGTCCCCGCGTCCCGCAGCGTCTTAAAAAAGTCCCGCTTTTTGGAAAGAATGCATGACAAGCTAGGGAACGGTGGGAGAACGGGAAGGGAATATACGGTTTTCAGCTGCCATGTGGCTATTTTGCCAGGATATGAGTTTTGTGTTATTTTTGTTAATTTTATAATGTTAAACTTTAATAACAAATAATTATTGAGAACTGATTATTGAGAACTGCTTATCGAAGTTCGCATTGTTGATCAGTTGTTAGAATTCAACGAGAAATATGCCAAAGAATAAAATAATACTATACATAATTTTTTAAACATATTTGTAAATTGTACTTATGTTGAAATTTAAAAAAAAATATATTACAATGCTCTTTTTGTGTTCTATGAAAATTTTTTTTGCTCCATATAGACCAAATTTTTAATTAAGAACCACCCCCACCCCTCTACCCCTGGTCAATGGTGTCCCGCTTTGCCAATGTTAAAATCTGGTCACCTTACCATATGCCAGAGGTGGTGGGTTCAAACCTAGCCCCCAGCCAAAAACAGAAAAAAAAAAAAAAAGAAATCAGCAGCTGGGAGTGGGTTGGTGGAGGGGTGGCAAGTACAGGGTTGTTGGGTCTTCAGGCCACCAGCATCCCTAGTGAAGGAAATTGTTGCCACCTTCCTGGCAGGGCACTGGGTGCTTGGCTCCTCTCTCTGACCCTCCTTTTCTAAGGTTTCTTAATTGGCCAGCCATCTGTTTGTGACTGCTGCAGTCCCCCGAATGTGTTCATGCATCCAGGCATGTTTCATTCCGGTCTCAGCCTATGGTCCCTGGTCTGCTTGCTCTCAGAGTCAACTGTCATTTCCTAGTTCCCTTATCATGGCCAAGTTGGCAGAGGAAGGGAAGCCCCCATTGTTCCCTCCTCTGTGCTGGTCACTGGGCTGCAAGGATGAGGTCACTTCTCAGCTTGGGGATGGTGGTGTCCTCATCCTGGTGGGAAGGCACAGGGAGAAGACTCTCCTGCTCTCGTCTTGCCCTCATTTTCCTCCTTGTGAGAGCTGAGACCCTCTGTCCCCCATGTGGCTTCGTGTTTCTGTTTCAGGCCCCCTGCAGTGAAGACCGTGTACTGCCTGAATGAAGCTGAACTAGTCGATGTTGCTCTGGGGATCCTGATTGAGGTAAAGTCAACTGAGTCTCTTCCTAGTCTTAGGACCAGAAGTTCTGCCTGGGCAGAAACCAGAGTAGGTCCCTGGTCCAGGTAATAAGAGAGATGCCAGTTCCGCAGGCTGCCGTGGGGAGCCGCCTCTGTCGGCCTCTCCCCAGCCTGCCCTTGCCTAGCTCTTCTGTCAGCCTCTCCCCATGTGGGTTGAGCCCCGGGGATGAACCTATGGGGCTGGACACCTGGGGAGGGCGTGAGTGTGTAAGGAGAGGGGGTGACTCTGGGTCAGTGTCCATGTGGAGGAGACACAAGCATTTACCTGTTTGTTCTTAGAAAGGGTCTCCTGGGTGAGGTGACCTCTTTTAGCCGTTGCACCTCTCCTGAGCTGAAGGCCACTGCGGTTTCCCGGCTTCCTGCAGTCATAGCTGCTTTAACAGTTGTAGCCCTTCCCAGTTCCCCAGGCCGTGATACCATGCAGTCCCTCATTCATCCTCACCATAACCCTGGGCTGTGGTTATTTCAGATACTGTCATCCCGAAGTAATTGAGACTGGGACTTTCCCTTAGTGCCACAGCTAATAAGCGACCAAATGTGGGCCCACACCCAGGTTTTGTGTCCTGGGCTCCTTCCATTCTCCACCCTGCCTTTCCAGACGCATTTTTTTCTATTTGTTTCTTTTTCCTTTCCACTGTACTATTCCTCATGCCCCTGCCTGCTTCTCTCCCAAGTGGATCCTGATTCCTTGAGGACTGTGATGAGGTGGTTGGAGGTGGGGGGGGAGGTGGGGGTGGGGGTGAAGACAGGGAGCTCAGATTTGGAAGCAGCACCTGGCCCGGTCATAGGCCGCTTTGCAATTGCCTCTGGGTACGTCACTGACAGACACACCAGTGTGTTAGGGAAGTAAAACGCATATGTCATGCTTGTCATCTCTTCTACTCCACAGAGCCACAAACAGGAAATGCCCTGGAAGCAGCTGTCTCAGGGGGGCTCAGATAACCCAGAACGCTCCCCCACCTGCTCCACATCCCCTCACACCAGTTCTGGGAGCAGCAATGAGGAAGAAAACAGTGGGAAAGACACCCCTTCCCCGGGCCTCGGCCCCTCCCTGGGACCGGGCGTTTCTGACTCTGCCTGCAGCGGAAGCCCGGAGAAGGACGAGGATGAGTTAAAATATGTCAGGGAGATATTTTTCAGCTGAGGAATGAACTGTTCACTGGACTTGATGCTGAGAGCAGCTGGAGGCAGCTGGAATTCCACAGGGGCTGCTGGGGTGGTCTCTGCTCCCCACTGTGTACCACCTTGGGCCTGGCAGATTCACCTCCAACCAGGAGCCCCAGGATGGCTGGGCCTTGTGGCTGCCTTTTAGAGTGTGTGAAAGCAAGGTTTCAAATCGTGTTTCCATTGGAATTCTCTGCACTGTGCCATCTCCCACTCAAGAGGGTCTAGAATCCTAGTCATCTGTTTTACTCAGTAACAAGTTGGAGGGAAAATGAGATCATATAGTGGTCCAACGTTTTTAGAAATACCTTTCAGAGAATAGTGCAGCTGCTAAGTATACTACAGTTTAGTCAGCACGATTTCCCCTAAGGGGATAGCCTCTTTTAAAAATAGTTTCCATCATGAGACAATCAAGGAATGAGCTGTCAGCTCTCTAGCCAGCCTGGAAGGTGGACCAACTGCCCACATCTCTCTGCCTTGTCTGGGAGCTTAAAGGTCACAGTGCACAGAACAGGAAGGCAAAGAGGCCTCCTCCCCCCACTGCTGTCCACTTGGTAATGTCCACCTGGTGGCGTCCACCTTGGCCTTGGGCAGCTGTAAAGCAGGAGTGGGACAGGAACCTGGAGGAAGTGCTGAGGACGGGAAATCACACCAGAGCCCACATTTCTGTCTCTGTATTTGGTATGGCTATGGACAGGCACAGAATGAGTAAATCAGATGTCATACAGGTTTTCCAATATACAGGTGCTGAAAAGTGCATGAAACACCCAGTGTGTAAGTCATGTTTACACCCTTCCCACTTCTGGTTGAGAAGTGGGATGTGGCATCCCGTGTGTACAGCCCTTTGTTCTGGTCACCTTCCCCTGCCCAGTATTTGGTGTACTTCTGCTCTCATCATAGGAATAATTTACCAGCGATGACTCTGCCCTTTACGTCCAGGGGCCTTTTCAGAGGAGTCTTCAAAGCCACCAAGGCTGCTTTTTGTGCCCATATGTTCCGTCTTTGTGGAGTCTGTCAGATCATTCCTGGGCCTTTTGCAATCATGTCCTGGGGAAGGGCTCATCTCGGCCCATTCCCCACAGACAGAGGAGCAAAAGCTTGCTAACCTAGGCCCAAGGACTGCCACGGTGCTCTCTGTTTTAATATTCCCATTTGTGGCCATAAACCTTCCCTGGGTTCCATTTTGGCATTTGGCAAATCAGCCTGGAAGTCTGGCCCAGAACAGGAATGCTTCCCTTTCCCCACTTCTGAGGGTAGAGTAACAGCTGCTCCGGTGGGTTAATTAAAGCTGGAATTCACGTGACAATGAGCTGCGTGGTTTTAGGGTGTCCTTGGAAGTTCTGAAGGACAAACTCCTGTACTAAGAAGCCGCAGGTGCCCCAGCCTCCCTTACCACCTGTTTGCCGCCTCAGTGCTGGGGGCTCTTCCTGCTCTGCATGGGGATCCATCTGCATTAGCTATGAAATAAGACAGTGGAGGAGACATGTCGCCGTCTCTGTGCAGTTGGAACTGAACCGTTGCATCAAGTAGCCTCCGGATAGCTAGCAGCTCTCAAGCCGGCTCTTGTCTTTCTCTGCTCTAGGAGGGAATGCAACTGCGGCCATAATCAAGAGGATAAGTAAGGCCTGGGCACAGCCCAGAGCCAGAAACCCAGGCCCCAGGAGGGAGAGCCTGACCCACTTCCACACGTAGGAGAGGAAGAGGCCCAGGCCGCTGGACAATAGCACGGAGGCTGCCGCCAGGAAGCCCACAGCTAGCTTCCACTGTTCCTTATCACTGTTGCACCAGGCCAAGAGGAGAGACAGGGGGGCAAAGAGGGTGAGCACTAGAGCCCCATACACCCCAAACCTGGCCAGGGCCAGTCCAACCCGAGGAATCCCCAGGGCCTCAAGCTCAGGGAATTGGAGACACTGTAGCGAGCTGGTGTCCTCATTCCACAGGCAGAAGTTATAGAAGCCAATTCTCAGGTTGGACAGGTCAGTGAGGTTGCCAGCCTTCCAGAGCAGAGCGTAGAACAGCAGGGAGGGGACCACGACTGTGAGGCCCAGGATGCACAGGAACGGCAGGTGTTCGCTGCACCGTGGTCTCGGGATGGCCATTTCTGTGGCCCTTTGCAAGGGGACCTGTACAGAAGTCACACCGTCAGTGTCCAGCTCTCCCTGTGGAATGTCACAAAAATGCACAGCAAACTCTTCCCTCCTACTGTGCCCACCAGCAAGGACAGGACATCTGAGGTGGCCTACAGGCAGGACCCACTTGGTCCTGTCAGCTGTCTGGTTTGAGGTCAGAAGGAAAATCTCTCCTAGGCAGCTTTGGAGGCCTGACCTGTCTTAACTGAAGTGACTTTTGACCCAAGGCTTTGCTGCAACCCAAGAACAACAAAAACAAGGCACTGGGAACATTTGTGAGGGAGTTTCTCTGATCCTTATCCAAGGTGCTTTGACCAAGGTGAAGGGTAAAGGACAAGGCTCACTTTTACTGGGGACTCGAAGGTGGAGGAGGGTGCTGGGCTTTGCCCTGGTTTCGTGACAGCCGCCAGCATTGCTATAAAAACTACCCATTGCAGGGCCATAAATCAACCAAGCAGGACTTCTGTGCTGGAGGCCACACTGGTGTGTTTTCCAAGCAGTGCAGCTCATTCTGGGTGAGCCACACCCACTGTGGAATATCATCTGCTCTGCTTGGGGTGACTCATTACTGGGTCAAGATGTCAGCTGGTGATGAGATGACATCATAGTCCTCCTTATAAAAAGTCTACAATTTTTCTTGACAACAAAAGTAATATATGTTAATTATAGAAAACTTAGAACATATTTTTAAAAGAAATAAAAAGTTACCTTTTATCCCACACATATAGAACCACTGTTACTCTCTTACCAATTTAATTATGCTGTTGAAAGTAATGCCTTTTCCTACTGGCTATTGTGAATGTTTTAAAATGTTAAAAGCTGTTGAATATTCTTACAAAACAGTTAATAACTGCATAGTAGTTCCTGTCATAGAATCCATTGCTTGGACGAGCCTGGTGTGGAATCTGATTTTTCCTTAGGCAAAATACCTAAAACAAGCAAATCACTGGGTCAAGGGGAGAAATACCTTTAGTGCACCTCCTGCGTAGCACCAAACTGACCTATACCTGGAAAACTTGGTATTTATAGTTCCTCCAGTTGTACAGAAAGTCCTCATTGTCACTCTTTTAAAAAATCTTTTCACTGCTCTTTTAATCAGAAGCGCTTCATCAAGTTGGTCTCTGAAGTAGCAGTCTGCTTTGTGTCTGTTTAGCAATATGGGATGAAACAGCTATCTATTACACATCTGGAAGTGACTGACTAGCAGCACCGTGCTACGGGTTTTGTGAGGCACAGAGCACTAGGGTCAGGATCCAGAGTAGCCTGGAAGCCCCAGCCTGTAGGGCCATGTGGTGTCAGCAGGGAGGAGAGTGGTGGTCTTGGGGAGGGATTTGGAGACAACACAGTCCTGGTCAACTTCTAGGGGGATAGCCCCCTCCTCTTTCCCAAAGCTGACCAGATGGTCACTCTGATCACAGTTATTTCACAAAACAGAAAGGGACCAAAATAACATGGGACGGTGCTGAGAGGGAGGGTTGTTCCATCAAGTGTGCCAAAAATGAGAATGAAAATTTACCAGCGAGCCCTTTGGCAGAGCCCTGGCTGGTGGTGAGCAGGAGCCTATAGAGACAGTGCGGGCTTGGGTCCACTCCGCTACAGCCTCACCTCGGATGCTGCTGGTCTGGGCCCCAGCAACACTGGACAGTCTACCTGGCTACACCCATGGCTTCTGCTCCAAAGGAGCCCGTGGGAAAGGAATCGTCATAACTCTGACAGGAGTGCAGCCATTTTAGAAAACCAGGTCAAAAACTAGCAGTCGTCTCCCCAGATTACTGGAGTTTCTCAAGGCCAGAGTTCCTAGAAACATTCTACTCATATCCTGGCCCCTAATCCTAAGAATAGACCCATATCCTGACCCTCTCCAGAGTAAGGTGACCGCGAGACAGTCCTGATTTTTAACAATTTGTCCTGTGTCCCACGGTGTTTTAAAAAAGCCCCAATTTTTGGAAAGAATGTACTACATGTTAGATAATTGCCTCAGAAAGCCCCTCCCCCCAAAAAAGTCCCTTCCTGCCCTTAAAGTTACAACCCCTCCCTTAACACAGGGAGTGGCCTGCTCACCACTGTGTGCTAGTGCTAGTTAAACAAGTGATGGCAACAAATCAGCCATTAAGATAATTTAGGTAAGTAATTTATTTCATGAATTTAGCAGACAGTACTTGTATTATTTATATTTTAAAGTGGTGGCAAAAAGTCTAGCAACAGCCTTGAAAGTGACACTTACGACTTATGAGGTATCATTATTTAAAAAATATATTGATAAGGAAAAGGTTAAATCTTGGGCATCAGCAAAAATCACAATAGAGAACAAATGGTTAGAAATATTTCATCATTTTGAAACAAACCACGTTCCATACAATAATGCACTAAAAATTGTGGGATACATACTGTCCTTACCAGGAACTAATGCTCCGAATGAATGCGTAAATGAAGTGTGGATATCAGAAAAATCACAATTAAGTGTTGAGACTTTGAAAGCCATTTTATGTGTGAAATATAATTTAACAAATTCTTGTGAAAAATTTCATGACCTTTTAAACACTGACAGCAATCTACTAAAAAAAATTCACTCAAATGAGAAATATGCCAAAGAATAAAATAATACTATACATAATTTTTTAATGTATTATATTTGTAAATTGTACTTATGTTGAAATAAAAAAAATTACAATACTATTTTTGCGTTCTATGAACATTTTTGTTGCTCCATATAGACCAAATTTTTAATTAAGAACCCCACCCCCACCCCTCCATCAATGGTGTCCTGCTTTACCAATGTTAAAATCTGGTCACCTTACTCTAGAGAAGAGCCCTAGGTGGTACTTGGGGCTCACTGCCCCATTCCAGCTACACTGATAAGACTTTTGCAGCCATGTGGAAGTGAGCTGATAGTGAGCTCAGTCTCCATTCCCTTTTACTAAAAGTCTTTCTTGGCTGGGCACCTGTGGTTCAAGTGGCTAAGGCGCCAGACACATACACCTAAGCTGGTGGGTTCGAATCTGGCCCAGGCCCGCCAAACAATGGTGGCTGCAACCAAAAAATAGCTGGGTGTTGTGGCAGATGCCTATAGTCCCAGCTACTTGGGAGCTTGAGGCAAGAGAATCGCTTAAGCCCAGGAGTTGGAGGTTGCTGTGAGCTGTGATGCCACAACACTCTACCCAGGGTGACAGCTTGAGGCTCTGTCTCAAAAAAAAAAAAAAAATTTTTTTTCCTCTCCTTCCTTGCAGACTCTTACCTAGGTTCTATGCCAGAACCTCTCAGAGTCCAGAGGGGACACTCAGAGAGGGAGGAGTGAGGGCCAACCTGTCCTCAGTGCTACTGGTCAGAGGCCCTGGAGGCTGGAGAGTTTGAAGACCCCTGTTTGAATGTAGTCGGACAATTCTTGGAGCAATGATGGATTTATCAGGAATTAAACAGGTAGCCCATACAGTATTAGGTTGGTATGATGAGGAGTTTTAACCAGTCTAGCCTATGGTTGTAGGAAAGACTCCCAGCCAAAATAATTTTGTACCGTTTTACATATTTAACAAATGTGCTTGTAAAAGGCTGTATCCATGATTTTAATGATATTTTTATAAGGATATTTTAGGGTACGGGATGGATTTCCAGGATGGAACACTGATTCACACCATAGTGCTGTAGGAAATAAGGTTCTAAGAACCAAGGGGGCTGGGGCTTGAGGGGGCCTGCTTGTTTCTCCTGTCACACTGGGCATCCAAAAAATCACCATTATTAAACATTTTACCCTGAAAACAGAACTCAATTTTAAAGAGATGAACGTGACTGCCAGAGGGGAGATTGCATCAGCCACCTCGCCTGACCTTGTCAGGCGCCGGGAGCCTTTGTTTTGACTTCCTCATTTTCTCTCAGCTGACCTTTGGGGTTTTTAAGTGGAGAGTGGAACAAAGTAATAAGCCGAGAAGCCCCAGACCAGGCATGAGAAGGAAGAGGGGAGCAACCCCTGGTTCCCTTTTTCTTTCCATCCTGTGTTGGGTCCCAGTTCCTGCACCCTGTGCCCAAGGCTGCCCCCCCCCGGCTGCTGGGACTTGGGGCTCACAGTTCTCCCCGGAGGCTCGGCTTCCATGCTTGCTTTGTGCCATCCTGCCCACTCTCAGCACTCCCAGCCCTATTTTCAGCCCACACTGGTTCAGTCATAATTAGAATGTACCTTAGGCTCCACCAGAATGTGACCTCTCTGAGGAATAGTATCTTTTTCTATACACAACAGGTGCTCTTTTTTTTGCCATGAATAAGTAAATGAAGATGCCGTTCATTCTCCTTGAGTTCTTCTGTGCCCACCTCTTAGCTGCACATAGTAACGGGACAGCAAAGCTCTTGCATGTGGGCTGCTTGTGTTGCACACGTGTGCAGCACAGAGCTGGGATGGCTGGTCCATGTGGGAAACATGGGCAGACTTCAAGCACTCAAGTGTGGAAAGGATGGAGGCCAGTCCTTGCTTCCTTTCCCAACTGTTTCCGGGAGACAACAGGCAGAGCTTGGGTTGGAAGCCCGGGGCACTCTTCTCCTCTGCTGCCCCAACAGCAGACCTGTTTTTCTTGGTTTTTAACCACCTTAGTAATGGGGCTCTCAGCACAATGAGCTTTTTAATTCCCTTCAATGATAAGCCACAGCTTCCTTCTGAGGGCCAAAGGGAAACTGCTGAGTCACTGTGGCCATTTTTAGATTAACTTTTTCCTGTTTATAATAAAGTAATCCGTGCTGATGGCAGAAAGCTAGGAAATGTGTGGAAATGTAAAGACAAACAACTTTCTGTAACTTCAAGTCATAAACATGAGTACTCAGCAGCACAGTTCTTTCTCTCACGTTGCTTTATGAAGTTGGGATCATACGAATACATGTTTGTATCCCACTTGGTGAGCATCGTCTCATGAACTAGAAATGCTTCCTAAGCACTATCTTTAAGGACTGCAGATAGCTGTATCATAGTTTATAGTTTTTACATATATCATATATTACATATAAAGCATATCCTT